GCGGAGCCAGAAGTGTCTTCGGTTCGCGTCCCCCTGCTCATCAGCCCGCATTGTGCCTCGCTCCTGAGGGAGCTGAGGTTGTGCGCTTTGTCTTGGCGTCTGCAGTCTCGTGGCTGCAGCATATCTTGCGTTTAGAATTCAGGGTATCGATTGTTTTGCTGTACGGCGGTGTTAAAAGGAGAATTATAGCAAGGGAATAGCCTCTTGGATGGTGAAGCCGACGGCACTGTTCTTGTGCTGCTTATGGTGTGGCTGGGTGACTTCTATAAGTCACGACACAGCCCCACTGTGCCCCTGTTTCTCCAGCTGTAATATGGAGCTAAAAGTGGCTTCCATCTAAAGAGGTGTGAGAGGAAGGGTGCTGTATGAAATCTACTGGTGGTGCAGCTGAAACGTTCATGTGAAATTTCAGCTTAACTATAAGCAGTGAATTAACTTGCTTATAAACTGCTATAAGAGCATAAGATGGCATTTATTAAATAGCATATTTTTCCATAGGTTGGAGCAGCTTTGCCTGTTGATGTCTTAACATATGAGGAAAAAACTCTGTCTGCCATATTAAGAGTTGTTAGCAGGTAAGATGCAGTAGGTACACACTTCAGATATTGCCATGAAAGAAAGAAACATGAAAAACAGAACTCTCAAGCTAAGAATGGTCTTTGAGGAATAAAGCCTAACTTGCAGGCATCTGCATACAGCAAATAAATAAAAATTCACTAAGATTTGGTAACTGCCAATATGTTATTCCTGCTTTAAAACAGAATGGTCTGACAGGAACTAAGCACCATTAATCTCTTTCTGTACTAAAGATGAGAATGGTTGCCCTTGGAGACAACTGCAGATGATTTAGGGGAAGAAGGAGCTTAAATGCCCAGAGTGAGCAAGAACAGGGCTGGTGAAGTGAACCTGGAAAGGTTACAGTACGTATCTCCCAATGTTGAGGACAAGAGGCTGAAGTCTCTGCAATAACCCTTCAGGGCACAGTGTTGCTGCTAGAACTCACTGGTAAACTCAGTTAAGGTTTCATTACACTTTGTGTAACATTTTTTTTTTTTTGTATTTAAGGTGTTCATGCTACAGGAAAACTGAGAAAAAAATTTAATATATTTTATTTTCTTCTTACTTACTTAGTGGCCTCGTGAAGCTCTGGAGTGCTCTAACACTGCTGGGCTTCTACCAGAACAGGAGGTGTGCCTTTCGAGTGCTGCAGGTAAAGCCCCCTGGGGCCTGGCTGCCTTCCCCCGCGCTCAGCTCCCGCTCGATGGCTGGCTGGCAGAGCATGCTGCCTCTTCACAGAAAAACTGCCTAGGTGCAAAACCATCTTGCTTTGGGAGGGAAATGCTTTTCAGGGCAGGTGTGTAGGTCTGCATTCAGGCAGTTCTCATTTTGTAAAGAGTCTTGTAAAATATGAGGGTAGTGGCTGTCTCCTTGCTTTATGGTTTCGTTCCAGTGAGAAGTCCTGGCCTCATTAATACATCTGCAAGGAAACATTTGTGGAAAGTTTTGTCCTTGGTCCAATCTTTTATTTCCCCTACTCCCTTTCTTCCCTTTCTCATAGTTGCTGTCAACTGAACTCAATTAAAAATTCATGCATGAAAATGCACTTCCAGAGCTTATTTCTTCCTGAGGATGCTGCTTAATAAAATTAGTTCCAAGAATTCTTTGTTTCTGAAGCCATGGCTAAACAAAAGTCTGCTCAGGATTAGCTCTAAGTTTTTAATATTTTATGTAAAAGGAAAATGTAAGTATTTTCAACTTTGAGTCCATTTGGTGGTGTGGTTGTGGTTTTTTTTTTAATGGTTTAGTTAGTTTCTTATTTTGCTTTTGTTTCTTCCCAAACCAGACATCTCCGTTTCTTCTTGCGTTATCTGGCAACAGCAGAGAACTGGTCTTGGACTGAATGCGGTTGTTGGTTTGATTGCATGAAGAAGTTGCTTGAGATGTTGCAGCCCTTCTGGCGTGGAATTTCTGGAGGGGATTTCCGACAAAGAGCCTTGGCAAAGTTAACAGTCATCAGCTCACTGCTTGCACATCCCATACGTCAGAGTTTACACATAAAAGTTGGGGACAAAGCCGAACTTTCCAAAGCTTTTACACAGAATGATGTGGTTACCTTTTCTGATTTAACAGGTGACACAAATCCTTTGCATTTGAATGAAGATTTTGCAAGGAAATCTAGGTTTGGGAGAACTATTGTACATGGAGTTTTGATCAATGGACTGATTTCTGCAGTTCTGGGTACTAAAATGCCTGGTCAAGGTTGTATATTTCTCTCTCAGGAGATCCGATTTCCAGCTCCTCTCTATACTGGTGAGGAAGTCTTGGCCACAGCGGAAGTGAAGCGACTGAAGGGCTCTGTTGCACACATTTCAGTATCATGTAAAGTCAAAGAAAGTGGAAAGACTGTTATGGAAGGGATGGTGAAAGTCATGGTGTCAGACAGTTAGAGCTGTTGTTCCTGTGCTGCTTTGCTATAAAAGGACAGAAACGCATGCTTGGTTTTGACTCTTGTCTTTTTACATGACGTCACTTAATCCAAAACTTTGCAACAAAAAAACTTCCAAATATTTCAAAGACAGTGCTCAAACTTAATTTTGATGGAACTGCATTCAACTTAGAGCTTTTCATTTTTCCCAGCGTACTGCCAAGGTGAAACCAACTTACTGTGACAAAAGTGGCACGTTTAGACAAGCCTTTGCTCTGCTTTAGTGGGAAGCCTGGAGCAGTGGGGCTTATCTTGAGGCTGGTTTTTTTTCAGCAAGACTGCAGTGCACTCTAGCTGAGGTCAGTTCAAACTTGTCACTGCTTCACAAAGTAGTTGTGTTGCTGACAGGCACCAGAGGGAAGGGACAATGCTGGGTGTTAACAGGGAGAACAGAGGTGGAGGTGTTGATACTTGCGTACTGCAGGATCTGTTGTAAACTCCATGGCAGCTCTAGCTGATGTTGGTGTAGTGTGCTCTTCTGCAACGTTCTTCCTTGGCTCTGCAAACAAATGGTAGTCAGCCTTCACGTAAACAATGTGCTCTGCCTAGTTGAGCTGGAGATGTGGCTCTAACAGTACGTACAAAACCTGATTATAAACAAAAAAGTTACCTTGAATGACAAGTGCCTCTGAAACTTGCTTCCCAGATGCAGAGTGAAAGAGGCTTTTAAAAAGCTGTATTGTCATTGCTTGTACTTCGTGCCTCCTTACGTGCCTGTGGGCATGACAGGAAGGGGCAGTTTTGTTGAGTACTGCCTGTGGCCTCTCTCTGCTCACTTGGCTGTGTGAACGTGGACTCCCCTTTGCCTACTCAGAGTCGCAGTGGCTGGTAAAGTAGGCTTTAGATCAATTAATTAGTAAATCACCCAGGTTATATTACTGTAATACCAACATAAGATTATGATACACTAAGAAACTTTTTTTCAGGCATGATGAGGACCATCAGGAGTAAAGTACAGGCTGTCTTCAGTTAGTTGTTCTCAAAGTTTTTTGGCAAAACATGTTACCCCCCAATCATCTCTGCAGCAGAAATGCTTTTCTTGACTGCAAATAACCTGCAAAGTTGTTTGCTATGAAAAGAGAGTTTGTCCTGAAACTGATGGAGGCTGCGGGTGAAACAGTTACACGGGCTGGGTGGGATGTCTGGGTCTCAAGCGTAGCTACGCTGTAACAACAAGCCCCAGGATACTGTTGGATACTGTGGGGCAGTAACTAGATTTGTCTCTGACCTCCGGGGTCGCTGAGGGAGGAGTGGTTTGCAGAGATTGCAGTTCCAGCCCCAGGTGGGCTGCTTAGCCCCAGCGCACAGCCCGTTCCGCTCGGGGTGGAGCTGCCAGGCGTGGATGTGTCTGGGGCCGACCCCGGTACTGGTTCGGTGTGTGGGGCTGAGCAGGGCTCTGCAGCCTCACACCATCTCATGCGGGGGGATAATGCTGCTATGAGGTGTAAAATGAAAAACAAACAGATGAGTGATCAACGGGCAGGAGGTTCCCAAGTGTTAAGAAGTATTGAAACAGTTTTCATACGTTTCAATACGATGAAAATCGGGCTGTGGAACTCGATTTAGCAACAGCTTTAAATCTGATTTTTCCCCCACCCCAAATCTACGAATTGAGTAGAAGATGGGGGATTCTGTTTGATCCTTCCGACTACAGACGCAAAGCCCCGAAAGTGAAGAGCGGCGGGCGCGCCAGCCCGCTGCAGTTTCTCGGTGCGAGGCCCAGCAGAG